AAAACATTAAAGAACAGAAAAAACAATTAAAACACAAATACAGGAAATACAAACATAACAAAACACAAAAATATACACACATCTCTCACTATCGGATTCAGAGGAAAGAGAAAGTTCACGGTCATTAAAGTGAGATATTCCTAACAAGAGGAAGAATAATGCCACAAAGGTCATTTACATCCCCCCTCCCCGAAAAAAAAAAACATTACATTAATTTCCTTATCTCGTAGAAACAGCAGAATAAATCAGCAGTTGTAAAAAAACATTAATAAATCAGGAAATAAGGCCCTCCCCATTAATATAAATTATCATGAAAGTAAATCGTATTATTTATGCTTAGAAAAATTAGGGTCTATGGTTGTCATCTTATTTAAAGGGTAAAAAAAAGTGGTATAAATTATTTCTTATCACTTGGAAACGGGAGAAGATATGAATGAGTATAAAGATCGCTGAATACGTGGTCCATTGGCATAACTTGTCATATTACACACACACACACACACACACACACACACACACGCACACACACACACACACACACACAGAGTTCCAAACCCTTTAAAAAAGATTGGAGGTAGCATGTATGGGGCAGGGAAGGAGGATATGTGGTTCATGGTAAAGGGGTGTGTGTGTGTGTGTGTGTGTGTGTGTGTGTGTGTGTGTGTGTGTGTGTGTGTGTGTGTGTGTGTGTGTGAAGAGATGATGTAGAGGAGAGGGGTGGTGGGGTAGGGAGGTGGTGTGTGTAGGGGGAGGTGGTGTGTGTGGGGTGGGGAGGTAGTGCGTGTAGAGGTAGGGAGAGGTAGTGTGTGTAGAGGTAGGGAAAGGTAGTGTGTGTGTAGAGGTAGGGAGAGGTAATGTGTGTAGAGGTAGGGAGAGGTAGTGTGTGTAGAGGTAGGGAGAGGTAGTGCGTGTGTAGAGGTAGGGAGAGGTAGTGTGTGTAGAGGTAGGGAGAGGTAGTGTGTGTAGAGGGAGGGAAGATGTGTAGGTCGGAGGTAGGGAGAGGTACTGTGGGTGGGAGGTAGCGTGTGCAGACGGAGGGAAAAAGGGAGTATGTGTAGAGAAAAAGACTATGAGGGAAGGAGTGGGTGTACAGGGAGGTAGAGTGAAGGAAAGAGTGGGCGTAAAAGGAGAACGTCGCTGCTCCAAGGGAAACTGACTCCTACCGTCCTGGTTGCTAGAGGCGAGACTCGAGTACCAGCAGCTCCGTGTGGCAGTAAGTGTATGGGGGGTGAGCATGGCTGAGCGAGTATTTACTAGGTACACTATACGACACACCCCATTTCACCAGTCAGAACGGTGCGGATCTTTATGAGTTCGGAAAGTATAAATACGATTCGTGAACGGGTCGAGTCAGGGGCCTTAACCCAAGTCTTGCAACCATTCTGCTGAGATTTATAAAAATGCTTCTTGCCAGCCCTCCTCCCCACCCCTACAACCCCCTCCCCCAACCAACCCTATCCCCACACTCACCCCCAGCGACATGTTTTAAATTGACTCATATTGAAATGTTAACGCCATTTCAAAATTAACTAGATTTTTCCTCCAAAATTTCATGCTCTATTGACACAAAATTGATCATCTGAAATATCCCAACCCAACCCAACCCAACCCAACCCAACCCAACCCAACCAACCCAGCAACCCAACCCAACTAACCCAACCCAACCAACCCAACCCAACTCAACCAACCCAACCCAACCCAACCCAACCCAACCTCACCGAAATCAATTAAATAATTCGCCAAATATCCAAACTCTTCCACAACAATGAAAAGTTAACTAGCTACAAATAATAGGAGCCACTAGCTTATTTAACCATACAATTAAATACCCTATCGCATCCTGAGAGGGTTTGGTTAGGTTAGGTTAGGTTATTCAAGGTTAGGGTATGTTAGGTTAGGTTTGTTTTCTTTAGGTTATGTTAGGTTAAGTTTGTTTACTTTAGGTTGTTAGGTTAAGTTTGTTTACTTTAGGTTGTTAGGTTAGGTTTGTTTACTTTAGGTTGTTAGGTTAGGTTTGTTTACTTTAGGTTGTTAGGTTAGGTTTGTTTTCTTTAGGTTATGTTAGGTTAAGTTTGTTTACTTTAGGTTGTTAGGTTAGGTTTGTTTTCTTTAGGTTATGTTAGGTTAAGTTTGTTTACTTTAGGTTGTTAGGTTAGGTTTGTTTACTTTAGGTTGTTAGGTTAGGTTTGTTTACTTTAGGTTGTTAGGTTTGTTTACTTTGGGTTGTTAGGTGGGTTTGTTTACTTTGGGTTGTTAGGTTAGGTTTGTTTTCTTTAGGTTATGTTGGGTTAAGTTTGTTTACTTTAGGTTGTTGGAGTTGGGTTTGTTTACTTTAGGTTGTTAGGTTTGTTTACTTTGGGTTGGGTTGGGTTAAGTTTGTTTACTTTAGGTTGTTAGGTTGGGTTTGTTTACTTTGGGTTGTTAGGTTTGTTTACTTTAGGTTGGGTTATGATAGGTTAGGTTGGGTTAGGTTAAATTATGTTATGATAGGTTAGTTTGAGTTAGGTTATGTTATGATAGCTTTGGTATGGTTAGGTTAGCTTTGGTTTGGTATGGTTGGGTTAGGTTAGCTTTGGTTTGGTATGGTTGGGTTAGGTTAGCTTTGGTTTGGTTTGGTATGGTTGGGTTAGGTTAGGTTACGTTTGCTTGCTTTGGTTAGCTTTTGTGAGAACTGCACATTTCCAGACTACAGTCTTTTCAGTACGGTTCAATCTCAGCACCGGGTCCTTGTTGATCCTCTTCCAAGACTGTCAAATTTTGGTGTATATGGTTGAGGGAATTCTCTTTTAAGTTTACTGGGATTACCTGAATATCCTCTCCCTCCTCCTCACCCCCTCCTCCCCACTCACTCCTCTCCCTCCCCTCCCCCTCCTCCTCACCCCTTCACCCCTTCACCCCACTCACACCTCTCCCCCCTCCTCCCCCCGAGCTTATTTCACTTTAAGGTTATCCACGCAACAATCTCAGCTCACCACACCCAGATAGGAAATCATTGTACTCGTCTCCTATACTGTGATATTTGCGACGACTTCCATGGCTGCAGCTGTATCCCTGGCCCCACAGTTAACAAGGTCAGAGGATATATAGCTCAATGAGGGTTAAATAGCTCACGGGGGTGTTAAATAGCTCACGGGGGGTAAATAGCTCACGGGGGTTAAATAGCTAACAGGGGGATTAAATAGCTCAGATGAGAAGGTGGGGGTAAATAACTCAGGGTTTATATAGTAGAGGAGGGGGTAGGAGCATATACAGTGTAGCTCTCGGGGATTAAATAGCTCAGAGGAGGGGGTGGTGGTAAATAGCTCATGGTGTTAATACTAAATGGCTCAGGGTGTAAATATTAAATAGCTCAGAGGGTAGTACATAGCTGTGAGGAAGTGTTGTGAGTTATTTAGTGAAGTTGAGATTCACTTTGTATACTGGCGATTTCTGTCACTTTCTACACTTGTCTTGGCACTTTGCTGTCACTTTCTACACTTGTCTTGGCACTTTGCTGTCACTTTCTACATTTGTCTTGGCACTTTGCTGTCACTTTCTACACTTGTCTTGGCACTTTGCTGTCACTTTCTACACTTGTCTTGGCACTTTGCTGTCACTTTCTACACTTGTCTTGGCACTTTGCTGTCACTTTCTACACTTGTCTTGGCACTTTGCTGTCACTTTCTACACTTGTCTTGGCACTTTCCTGTCACTTTCTACACTTACGTTTCACCACCATTATTTACTCCCGTCTTTGAGATAGATAGATAGATAATAAAATATTACATATAAATTTTAGTCAGTATTATGTTTTGTCTAATATATATTTTTTTTCTCGACAGATTATTGAACAGAGGAAGTTTTCAGATTAACCTAAAGGATTACGGAAGTACAGCGAGAGATTCTTAGTGTATTGAAAAGACTTTCGAAAAGATCGAGCGTAATAACAGGTACAAACGTGGTGGTGCAGAAGACTGGAGGGCATTGTACTGTTGTGTTATGAGCGTCATGTTCTGGCAAACGTAAGTCAAGTTGTTGTACCTGACACGTAAGGGGTCTTATGGAACCTTGTGGTGTTTGTGTTGACTGTGCTACTAAGACCTTCCACCATGGCGTCGCGGCCCCCTGGACAGTGTTGCGCCGGGCGCTGTGGTGTGAGTGAGGACGTGTAGGTGTGACTTAAGCGTTGGTGACGGGAGTAAACCGCCGCGGTCATGGACGGCCACAGGAGCGGTGACCTGACGGCGCTGCAATACAACCAGCGGTCATCACGGTCGCTGGGGCGGTGTTCCGTGTGCTGTTCTCGCCTCGTGTCCATTTTGTGCTCCAACATGGGCGTGTGCGCCCTGGTGCTGCTCTACACCGTGGTGGGCGCCTTCATCTTCACCACCATCGAGGGTGGCGGTGACATGGCCATCCAGCTGGACCCCCTGCACGGCCGCCCCGCCCCGCCCCGCGACTCAGCAGTCATGGAGTCAATGCGTCAGCACGCACAAGGTCTCCGTAACGAGACGGTGGAACACCTGTGGACCATCACGGAGTCCCTTAACATCCTGTACCGCGACAACTGGACCAGAGTGGCTGAACAGGAGCTGCTCAGGTTCAGCGAGAAGCTCCTAATTAGACTGTACGAGGAGCAACTTCCGCCCAACCCCGCGCCCACCACCGCCCACGCCTCCTACCAGTGGACCTTCGCGGGCTCCTTCCTCTACTCCCTCACCGTAATCACCACTATAGGTAAGTGAGGCCCTCTATTGTACTCTTTAACACCATCCTCACCACATACTCTTCATCAGCACTAGAGGTAAGTCACCCCCTCATCTGCCTCTCCCCATATACGGAAGATAGGAAAGTGGCCGCCCTCAGCCAGCATTAAATGAGCTGACGAACAGTGGCGCCACTTATTGAATTTCCAGCACAGTTTGATTACCTTTACAGAGGCCAGATATTTCCAGATGCGTAGTGTTGCTAGATACTTCAAGATGTCAATTGTTATCTTGTTCACCAATATATTTAGATGAATAATAAAATACTGCAGGTGTACTTAATCTCCCAAATTATATATAAACGCTGTCAGACGACAAACCTTGGCAGAGCCATCTAGCAGGTTTCCAACAAAACTTCACTGTCTTCTATATGTGCATTCGTTTGTTGGTTGAGTATCACACAGGGGAGGAGCTCTTCTACCCTCCGTACTATACATAGTCGCCATCATATAACCACGATGCTGCTCACTCCCTTCTTCAGCGTCGAATAAGTCACTATCCCTCCTCCGAGCTCCCACAACACTACCTCACATAACCCAGGACACTCGGGCTTCATTTTCATCTTAGTAAGTGTACAACAGGACATAAAATTAAACAAATAACAGGATGGTCAATAATCACAAGACAAAGATACACTAACTACTGTAAGGTGGAAAGTAGGTACACCACGCGGCGTCTGAGCGTCTCCCTGACGAAGAAAACCTAACTTTAGAGTACGGGGTAACAATTCCATAATATATGTAAAAATTAATAAGATTTGTACGGCACAACAGAAAAATAACTTAACCTGATCTAAGAGCAGGTCAGGTTGTTTAGGTAAATACATATTAGTTTTGTCAGTCATAGTTCTGACATAAAAATATATTCATGTCATTTACATTATTAACTTTTTCTGTAGAATGTATAAAAAACCGCATCAAACATAATATAACACTCCTTAAATGGTTACAAACAAAGAAGCATCTTATATAAACAATATAACATTTTGAGGGGTTATATGGGTTATATACAAACATACAATAGTTATAAACAAATGAACATAAACAATCAACACACCTCAAGGGTTTTGAAGGCCAGACAAGACTCTTCAGAACCCACAAAGTATTAGTTTATATTATCCAATTACAACAGGACTGATACTGAATAAACATTGTTAAGACTAGTTTTGGGAGGGCTAGTTAGCATGCTAACCAGCTCCTTTTGATGTATTTGTCAATAAATGTTTTGAATTTGAATTTGATACTGAATAAACAAGCGAATCTGCTTATTTTAAACTTCAGTACAGTAATAAGATGTAAGTATTGTCGTTATGTAAGACTTCTGTTGAGTGATTGTTAAAACGCTTGTTAGTAGGTAATAGTTAAGGACAAGAGCTCATACATACATACACATACATACATCTACATACATACATACATACATAGACAAACCTACAATTTATTACCAACCCATCAAAATTACCAACCATTCTTCCCTACTCCTCCTCCTCACTTTCTCTCACTTCCTGCAAAAAAATTACATACAATGATATCCTGTTTGTCTGTCTGTCTGTCTGTCTGTTTTCCTAACCTTTCAGTAAATATAACTGACAATCTCTAACATGCCTCTCTCTACCCTCGTGCCATGGCGTAACTTTAAATATTTATGTATCCTACCAGGCGGTGACCAAATAACTCTAGCACTGAACACACACACGCAACGCACACACACACACACACACACACACACACACACACACACACACACACACACACACACACACACACACACAAATTGGTTATATTCAATTAGCATACGCCATACGACACCTGTTCAATAATCTCTAGGTATACCTGTACAGGAGAATGTTGAAGTAACATAAAAACATTTGAAGAAGTGCTAAGATACTAAGATTGCTTAGGTTAGGTTAGGAGGGTAGGTTAGGTTAGGTTAGGTTAGGTTAGGTTAGGTTAGGTTAGGTTAGTTAGTGAAGTGCCGTCTGGTGGAGTAAAGTGGTAGATTCTGGTCGAACGGTTCCCAGGTTCCGCACTCCAATGTTCACTTAAGGGATCACGGTGCTCATCAAGTTGGTGACTTATAGCAGAGATGAGTACAATTTTAGTTACTATATGCACAAATATATATTATCTGATTAAGAAGTAACTCACAGCACATGCGCCGTGGGTGGAGAGGCCATGCATCAGAGTTCACTCACCATCACATGACTACCCAGGTGTTGAAGTTTATATTTGAAATTGCGAACGGATGTGTTCTATCAGTAGTGAGGGTGACACCCAAATGGGAACTCTACCTATGTTAAAAAAAACCTGGGGTTATTTGTAGGGCGGTTGGCGACATGGAGTAGGCAATCGTCCTACGAAATATAAATAATCCTATAAAATAAAACTAGTAGTGAAAGAAGCTAGGAATGACCTGTTCTTAGATTAACTAAGCTAGATTAAAGTAGCCACCTGCTCGGGGCGTCTCACAAATTGGACTTCTGATAATCACCTGTGATGGCAACTTACATTAGAGCAACGAGATAATTGGTGTATATTTATAGAATAAGGAAAATGAGATACTTAGGTCATATAATTAAGATTGAGGGATAACAGAAGAGATATTAATAGGTCACAGTGTGTGTAGAAGGGCCAGGGATAGGTAAGGATAGGAGGGCCAGGGGTAGGAGGGTCAGGGACAGGTAGGGGTAAGAGGGTCAGGGAAAGGTAGGGGTAAGAGGGTCAGGGGAAGGCAGGGGTAGAAGGGCCAGGGATAGGTAAGGATAGGAGGGACGGGTAGGAGGGTCAGGGGAAGGTAGGGGTAAGAGGGTCAGGGGATAGTAAGGATAGGAGGCCAGGATAGGTAAGGATAGGAGGGCCAGGGATAGGTAAGGATAGAGGCCAGGATAGGTAGGATAGGAGGGCCAGGGGAAGGTAGGGATGTAAGAGAAGGTAGGGGCAAGAGGGGCAGGGGAAGGTAGGGGTAAGAGGGCCAGGGGAAGGTAGGGGGTAGAAGGGTTAGAGAAAGGTAGGGGTAAGAGGCTGGGGAAGGTAGGGGGCCAGGGGAAGGTAGGGAAGAGGGGCCAGGGGAAGGTAGGGGAAGAGGCCAGGGAAGGTAGGGGTAGGAGGGCCAGAGGAAGGTAGGGGTAAGAGGGTCAGGGAAGGTAGGGGTAGGAGGGGCCAGGGGAAGGTAGGGGTAAGAGGGCCAGGGGAAGGTAGGGGTAGGAGGCCAGAGGAAGGTAGGGGTAGGGGCCAGGGGAAGGTAGGGGTAAGAGGGGCTAGGGGAATAGAAGAGGGGCTAGGGGAAGGGGTGAGAAGGGCTAGAGAAAGGTAGGGGTAAGAGGGCTGGGGGGGTAGGGGCACAGGGAAGGTAGGGGTAAGAGGGCCAGGGGAAGGTAGGGGAAGAGGCCAGGGGAAGGTAGGGGTAGGGAGGCCAGAGAGGTAGGGGTAAGGAGGCGGGGGGAAGGTAGGGGTAGGGAGGGCCAGGGGAAGGTAGGGGAAGAGGGCCAGGGGAAGGTAGGGTAGGAGGCCAGAGGAAGGTAGGGGCAAGAGGGCCAGGGGAAGGTAGGGGTAGAGGGCCAGGGGAAGGTAGGGGTAAGGGCCAGGGAAGGTAGGGGAGGCCAGGGGAAGGTAGGGTAAGAGGCCAGAAGGTAGGGTGGCAGGGGTAAAGGGAGGCTGGGGAAGGTAGGGGTAAGAGGCCAGGGAAGGTAGGGGTAGAGGCCAGAGGAAGGTAGGGGTAAGAGGTCAAAGGTAGGGGTAGGAGGGCCAGGGGAAGGTAGGGGTAAGAGGCTGGGGAAGGTAGGGGTAGGGAGGGCCAGAGGAAGGTAGGGGTAAGAGGGCCAGGGGAAGTAGGGGTAGGAGGGCCAGGGGAAGGTAGGGGTAAGAGGCAGGGGAAGGTAGGGGTAGGAGGGCCAGGGAAGGTGGGGGGTGGAGGGCCAGGGGAAGGTAGGGGTAAGAGGCCAGGAAGGTAGGGGGTAGGAGGGGCCAGAGGAAGGTAGGGTAAGAGGGTCAGGAAGGTAGGGAGGGCCAGGGGCAGGGGTAAGAGGGCCAGGGGAAGGTAGGGGGTAGGAGGCTAGAGAAGGTAGGGGTAAGAGGGCCAGAAGGGGGGTAGGGAGGCCAGGGAAGGTAGGGGAAGAGGCCAGGGGTAGTAGGAGGGCCAGAGGAAGGTAGGGGAAGGGTCAGGGGAAGGTAGGGGGTAGGAGGGCTGGGAGGAAGGTAGGGGTAAGAGGGGCCAGGGTAGGGGGCAGGAGGGCAGGGGAAGAGGGGAGAAAGGGGCGGGAGGGTAGGGGAGGCCAGAGGAAGGTAGGGGGAAGAGGGGCCAGGGGAAGGTAGGGGGAAGAGGCCAGAGGAAGGTAGGGGTAGGGGTCAGGGAAGGTAGGGGGTAGGAGGCCAGGGGAAGGTAGGGGTAAGAGGGCCAGGGGAAGGTAGGGGTAGAAGGCTAGAGAAAGGTAGGGGTAAGAGGGCTGGGGAAGTAGGGCAAGAAGGTAGAGGAAGAGGGTCAGGGAAGGGGTAGAAGGGTTAGAGAAAGGTAGGGGTAAGAGGGTCAGGGGAAGGTAGGGGTAGGAGGCCAGGAAGGTAGTGAGGGCCAGGGGAAGGTAGGGAGGGCCAGGGAAGGTAGGGTAAGAGGGTCAGGGGAAGGCAGGTAGAAGGCCAGGGAAGGTAGGGGTAAGAGGGTCAGGGGAAGGTAGGGGTAGAAGGGCCAGAGAAAGGTAGGGGTAAGAGGGCTGGGAAGGTAGGGGTAAGGGCCAGGGAAGGTAGTAAGAGGGTCAGAGGAAGGCAGGTAGAAGGCCAGGGAAGGTAGGGGTAAGAGGGTCAGGGGAAGGCAGGGGTAGAAGGCCAGGGAAGGTAGGGGTAAGAGGGCCAGGGAAGGTAGGGGTAAGAGGGCAGAAGCAGATAATAGACTGAATTAAATTAAAATCTGTTGTGGCCTCGGAGGGTTACAACAGCTGAGAAGGTTAGTAAACACAGCCCTGAAAATATATGGATTCGTGGACCGTAGTCGCCAACCCTCTGACCTGATAAAAGGAACACACTATTCTACCATGTAAGTTGGATTACTAAATATAGCTTGTAGGCGAGGGTTGAATTAATGGTGGTAGTGGTGGTTGTAGTGGTAGTGGTGGTAGTGATAAGTGGTGTTCAAGCCGATAGACCACCACTAAAACCACAACCACCACCACCAAAACAACCACCACCAACCCGCTCGTTCTGCTCCTGGCTTTACTTAACACTAGTGATAACACACACAATGGTCATTACCTCCAGTTTACACAGCGC